TTTCTAAAAACAGAATACGGTCTGCTGACATGATGGTGCTCAGTCGATGGGCAATTACGAGCGTAGTTCGGCCATTGGAGAGAGCTGCTAGGGATTTCTGGACATGTTCTTCCGTTTGAGTGTCGAGCGCGGAAGTAGCTTCATCCAGCAGTATGATTTGAGGGTTCTTGAGAATGGTACGAGCGATTGCCACACGCTGTTTCTCGCCACCGCTCAGTCGTAGTCCGCGCTCTCCGACCCTGGTATTGTAGCCATCTGGGAAGCTCTTGATCTTGGTATGAATATCGGCCATGCGACAGGCCCGGTGGACGTCATCATCACAGGCATCGGGTTTCGCGTACTTGAGGTTGTACATCAAGGTTTCGTTGAAAAGCATCGTATCCTGCGGCACAACACCGATATGTCTTCGAAGAGAATCAATAGTAATATTCTTCACTTCATGTCCGTCGACGAAAATTTTGCCATTCGTAGAGTTGTAGTATCGGAAGAGGAGACGGAGAACCGTAGATTTGCCGCCACCAGACTCTCCAACTAGGGCGGTAGTGGACCCAGGTTGACAACTAAACGAAAGACCATTCAATACAAGCTTCCGTGCATCATATGAGAAGCCAACATCCTGAAACTCGATCATTCCTTGACAAGTGGCCATTGGGGTAGCACAAGGGCTATCAGTGACTGTCGGCTGCTCTCTGAAAAGCTCCAACATGCGTTCGGCATTGATCAAAGAAGATTGTATAGAAACATAGAATGCACCGAAGTAGCTCAATGGGCCTTGGAGCTGGGCCATGTACATCAACAATGTCACAAATCGACCCACAGGCTGCTGGAGGGTTGAGACCTGGTATACAGCGATGAAGCATGTCAACAATAAAGAGGTCGTCAACACAGTTTTTTGACTGGTGCTCATCATGGCTCCGCAGAGGAATGAGTAGTACTCAGCAGTTTGGAAATCGCACACAGCATGGCGGTAACGGTCAAACTCGTGTTGCTCCGCATTGAAATATTTCACCGTTTCATATGACATCATTGAATCGTTTCTGTGTGTGCATGTGAGCATTGTTGTAATTCATATTGCAGATAACTTTCTAAACTTACTTCACCGCATCTTCATGTCTCGAAGCATTGACCATCTGTCTCCTGGTCTTCGCACTCCACTGGGCCATGCGAATGGTGACATAAAGATAAACAAATGCCGAGATCCCAACCACAAGAGCATAGTAGACATCAAATGCAACCAGAAAGTACCCAATTGCGATGAGCAGGTCAGCTAATGTAGGAAGGAACTGGAAGGTGACTTGTTCTAGGAATGAATTGACCGATTTGCCTTTGTTCAGAGCTGATAGGAGTTCACCCGTCTGCTTTTCTAGGTGAAAGTCCAAACTGAGGCTGTGAACATGTTCGAAAACGGCAGCAGAAAGCTCCAGGTAGGAATACTGGCCCATCGGAATCCAAAGGCCAGTGCGTAGAGAGCCCAGAACTTCCTGTAGCCACAGGCAGAAAGCATACATGCATATCTCGAACCATGGGGTGTAGAATGTGTTTCCGGCTTGCTGGTCCGCCAGAACCGTAGTTATCGCCCCAACCTGAACGGGTGTCATCACATTGACAATCCGCTGAAGTATGACAAGAACGAAGCAAGCCACAGCTACAACCTGCAAGCGTGGGGACTTGGATGGCCACATGTAAGGGAAGAACCGTGAGAAACCACTTAAATAATCGAAGAAGCTCATGGATGGCAACTCTTCTGGTCGGACCCAGGATCTTGGTGGTTTGGGCTCTGCGGGTCTCGCAGCTCCGCCTGTTGAACCGTAGGCGTGACCTTTACCACCACAGCCCTTTGTGCGCGGAGACTTTAGCAATCCAGTTGCCTCAGTAGCATGATCTGGCTCCCCCTCTAAGTTTTCATCATGATCTATAGGAGCACCGGACTTGGTGTAGTAGAGTAGAACGAGAGTGATCAGAATCAAGATACGGACACCGTTGGGGACCAGTTCCATGCACTCCCAAAAGGTGATCCCTTGGCGTATCGGGCCTCCGCTGGGGTTACCGACTACTGGCTCACGATAGACGGAGGTGTAAAGCGAGAGGGTCGTGGTAAAAATGATGAGCTCGACGAGAATGGCGAAGGACCAACATGTGAGCTGAATGGCCGTCGGGGAAGGTGTGGTATCGACTATGCTGACAAGAATAACTGCGTAGGCAAAAATAGAGCCGACGATATAAATCTGCGGGTATTAGAAATACTATATCATAGCAAGGTTCAAAGAATATAGAGACGCACCACGACTGACTGTTCGCGCCACCGATACACGGAACGGGCCATTAACACATGGGTGATATGGACCGTGGCATCAACAAGGAACGTCACAAGCACACCAGTAGAAAGCCAGATGAAGTAGTGTTTGACGGTGTCAGAAAAAGGCTTAGTCTGACCAGAAGCCGTCGGGTTCCAGGTCCGCCTGGGAAGCTGATCATCTTTGTTTTGTGATCTTTTTTGCTCGGTCTTGCTATTGACGATAATCCTGCTCACACAGCCCACGACAAACAGCAGCATGAGCAAGATTGGGTAGCATGCAAGGAGATACTCCAGCAGTGTTTGAGGATTCACAATAGCAGTTCGTTCAAGAACATGAGAATAAAGGGATCTCCCATGATTGTCTTGGGCCATTTGTGGCGGATATTCGATAAGCAACGATGAGGATAGGCTTAATGGCGGGCAACAAAGGAACTATTATAGATTGGACTGAGTGGTTAGCAAAACGGTGATTCTGATATGTCCTAGCAAAAGGTGACAATAGATATGAAAGATAATACCTATTGCAATGTTGCCTCCATATATGATGGGGGGAAGGGTTTTGGATGAGCTTCGAAGTATGGAGGTGCAAGTTATATACTTAGCCTGGGCTGATGCCATGCTGTTGTTACTAGTATACCAGGCTCGAAGAGGGGGCGGGATAGGCCTACTATCCCGAGGCTGAGAGCAAGTACCTGCCATAGCGCACTAGAGTATGCACGGCGTCTCTAGACCTCTGTTCCAGTTCCAGGCATGCATTTGTGGAGCCAACGCCCGGACTCGTAGGCCATGTTCGAGGTTTCCCCGGGTGCGGAGCCTCTGTGGTCGATCGACTACCACATACCCCAGGAGGATTCGCAAGCCTTTCTGTTTGCCAAACAGTAGGGACAAGGCACCAGAATTGGCTGTAGTGCAGACAAATCGTTTGGAAATTGTTCCTCGTGTGCGTAGCACCTTGTCTTGTGATGCTACAAAGACAAAATTGGTAGAAAGCTTGGAGGTAAGCTGGTAAAAAAGAGATGATCCCTCCTGATCTTCACCGATCTTCACGGCCGTGTCTGTGCTAGAATTCAATCCCTGTAATTCCATAATCACTATTTACAATTATGTGGAACCCAAGCCAATCTTTGGGTTAGAATGGGATGTCGCGAAAGGCCCATGACAAGACCGGACGCTCCTGTCGGCCCCCTAAAAAGGTTCGTGACCACAACTCTGGATCGGTGTAAGCAAAACGCTGGGTTAAGACGATCATATTACCGCAAACCTACCTGTGTGGGGCTCAATACTTTGATTAGTTTATCCGACTAACCATGCTGAGCAGGACTCCGTAATGCGGATCGCTCAGGGGAGTCTTGGTATCAGCCCCTGTAATTACAAAAATTTCAATACAGCATAATTCACTGAATTAAATCTTGCAGGAAACCGTGGGAAAAGACCATTTGGCAGAGGAGACACCGCTTGTGAGGCCTGGAACACTGCCAAAATAAGAGGACCCGTCACTAAGCCACCTCTCGTCCTCTCACACGCTTCCCCCCGCTGAGGGTTCGGTCAAGTACATTATTTCGACAACGAGGTCATGTAACCGTATATCGCACATCTATTCCCATCTGGCCTCATCACAATCTCCCTATGTGACTACATAAATGTGCATTATCCAATGCAGTCTGCGCATTGATCGTTCGCTTGATCTCAAATAAATATTTGTACATCGTCTCGGTCACTCATTTTTCTCTTCTATAGGACAATCTCTAGTGGCTCTTCTAACTAGACAGATCGAAATTAAATTAGATTGTTCCAACTTTATGTAAGGGAATGAATCTAAGAGAGTGTAGAGGTAAAACTTATTCAAATATTACTCTGCTTGTAGTCAAAATAGCTGCCTTCCCTATTGCCCAGCGCAGTAGCAGCTTATTGCGCTACCACTTAGACCGAACTACACACCACGTAATCCTAGGATCTAGACGAGCGCTCCAGGTATTCATAGAGGACATCGCAGGATCATTTATTGAGTTTGAGGAATAGATTCTCTATCAATTGACGAGCGGTCTTCCTCTCCCAAGAGAGCCAGGTAAGCATTCCAAGGACAAAAGACAGGAACAATTTCGCTCATTCAAGTACATCTGTGTAGCTCAAGTCGGCTTGAATTTACAGAGAACCACGGCCGTCACGTGGTAGATGCTTGGACCGCATCTAGGAAGGTTCAGACCAGGAAGTACGGTCAGACCAGGAAGTACGATCCTCAACACCCTGGATTTGAGCGTCATAAACTTGCTGGATCCCGTAAGGCCGGCAAATTCTCTTCGGAATTGGTGCTTCAAAGTCCCCACCTCTCTTGCACGTTGTAGAAGAAAACGCAAACTCAGGATTTCTGGCTATCGTTGTCTTCTGTTTTGGTACATTCGAATTGGGAAGATAGTGAGGGGAACCGTTTAAATGGCGAGAGTTCTGGCCGGTGGACGACTGCGGGTGTTGGCCAGGAAGCTGTGACAGCATGTAATAACTGCCAGTGGCAGATAATGCTTCACCAGGCTTAGTAAACCGTTGATCGTGGTGGCTGTCAGATGAGAATAACCCGTTGGCGCTATCATGTCCACTGAAGGGACCCGCAATATTAGCATTTAGAACAGAGCTAGTTGAGGGCAGGCAACTTCCACCCAAACCTGGAGAGAAGACATGGCAATTGAAAGAAGAGGGGATAAGAAACCGCTTACTTGTCATATACCGGGAGCTGACCTGAGTCGAGTTGAGTCGAGAGCACTGATGGGGCCACCACCCGTCTTGAATCCGGTCCCTGGTTCAGGTCCCGTTTCACTGGCTTTGGGACAGAATGCTGTGTTTGGACTCTGTAATACCCAGACGGGCCTATTTTTGCAACGGATGACCTGGAATGGTTCATGTCACCCTCGTGAGGCTGACAATGCTTCCTAAGATCCACGTACTCTCCCATAGGCGTTCTGGGGTATTTTGTCGGTTCCATGGGTCTCCCCATCATAATGATAATCATGGAGACTGTCTCGAAATCATTTCGATGGGGGTTGCGAGTCTTGTTCGCATAATAGCTTTCTTTGGCATAGACACAGCTCCATTCCATCCGTGGATAATCCACTCGTTGGTCTTCGGCCAGCTGGGTGACCTGAGCGCGCTGGTCGCGGCTCAGGTTTTTGTACTGCTGTCTAGCAGAATAATCTTCTGCCCGCTCATGGATCATCTCGTAGAGCTGTTCTTGTTTCATGCGTAGTTCGGTTCGCTCTGCGCATGCCCAGGTTGCCGCTTCATCTAGGCTAGGATCTGCTTTGTAGAATTTGTAGCCTTTCAAAACGGTTCTGGCGGGTGGAGAGGGATAGCTTTGAGATGGAAATGTCAGGTGGGACGTTTGTAGTGGCCCCAAGGGACTGGTAGCAGTGGAGCATGTTTTTTGGCTGTGGCATGATTCGAGATCATCATGCTCCAAATTGGTCGACATTCGGTGGAACTTGGGGGGTGGTGAGGGTTTGATTCAGCGAAGACCTGTATACAGAAATTGGAAGTTACTGAGAATGGAAGCAGGTTATATACCGGTGCTGCAGGTAAATAACCCTTGGGGACACGCCACTACTTCACCCGGGTGATAAGACCGCCCCTAGGCAGCGGTCAAGCCCACCCCGCGGGGCATGCTTGTGCACTCAACCTTTTGCGTCACAAGCCAGGTAGTGGGGTCCAATTTCCACTACGGCCGGGCTGTGTTCCTAGGAATCAATATCTGGCCCCAACCATATCCATGCCCATAGCAAACGCCCAATTAGATTGAGGGTTGATAAATTCGCCTAGCCCACCATCAAATCGCATTAGTCCTTACGTGATGACTGAGGAAAGATGTATGAGCCTTTCTGTGCTATTTGTATATCTTCTGAAAGTTTGACTATCTAAGGGCTTATACTTACGGCTTGATACCAACTCTGTGGAACCCAATCTTGTGGTCAAATTGGAGAGTCAAAAATGACCTATGAGAAGACCAGACGCCCCTGTCAGATCTGCAATAGCGCCAGTAGTCATAGGTTTAGATCATAAGAAACACACAGCGCTAGAACGATCACGTGCTGCAAACCTAGTTGTGTGGGGCTCCATGCTTTGATTTATTCGACTAACCATGCCGAGTAGGGCTCCGTAATGCGGTTCCCCGGAGTCTTGGTATCAGGCCCTGTAATTACAAAACTTTCAATACAGCATAATTCACTGAATTAAATCTTGAAGGAAACCGTAGGAAAAGACCCTTTGGCAGAGGAGGCACCGCTTGTGAGACATGGAACAATGCTAAGATATGAGGACCGGCAACTAAGCCACCTCTCGTCCTCTCACACGATCCCTTCCCCCCGCTAAGGGTTCGGTCAAGTACACATTTCGACGACGAGGTTAGAAATGGACGGGGGGGTTGATCGTCAACAAGATAGGGGGTCAGCAGAAAGAGAGGGGTCCAGTGGGAAATCGAACATATCACTGGAGAATTAGACCATTACCGAAGACTTGGCAGTTTGCGTATCTAGCTTATCCGGGCAGATGGCCTACAAGTAACTAGCAGTGCAGGAGACTTCCTAGTGATATGTAACTGAGCTTGCTGAGCTATCTCTGAGACTAGGTCCAGTATCTTCCTACCCCTTGATACAGTATTCGACATATTGCGAAAACAGTTCACAATCAAAAATCCATGCTCCAAAGGGTCCCAATGGGTATTTCGTTTTCATTCGCGAGGTTTATCTCCAAGTCCAGATGGGGAAATCACCTGGTTTCCTGCTAATATATCGTACACCGTCCCACCATGCCAAGCCCCTAACCAGTGGCTCACGCCAGAATACCAAGGTTGACTGTTCCAAACGACTGATCTAGACGGCTAATAACGCAGGCCATGAATACCTCTCAAAGGCAACATTAAAAGCGCCAACCTGTAGTACCTTTGTTTAGGTCTCACCGCAAATGTACCTCACCTGCGCAGTGACCGAGTCTCAAGACCCCACCCGACCAATTATAGCTAAATCACATGACAAGCCACCGAGTGGTAGGTTTATAACCCGTCATTCCGATACTTCTTCACAGCGTTGACCATTTCAGATCACCATGGGTATGTGGAGTTGTGATATCGAGAACTGCGGCAAGACCTCTGTTCGTACAGATGGAGACTGCATACTTTGCAGTCGTCATCTTTGCGCCAAACACCTTACATCTGTATATCATAAATGTCCACAGTGGGAGGTGAGTAAAGGGTGGGGAAAAAAGCTATTTTACAGACTGGAATAACTTTTTTTCTCTATTACCAGGACGAAAAAAACTACGATCCTGCGGCTGTCCGAGCGGAACAAGAGGAAGTAGCCAAACTTCTTGCCAAAATCAACGTTGCCGCGCTCACATCTCGAGCCAGCTATTTGCGCAATGGCATCGGCTGTTCCATATTGCAGAAGCTTCAATATGATCCGTCAACGCGGAACTCAGTCATGGGCGGTATGAATTATCATGTCGAGATTTCGTTTGAGGATGGCATCTCCTGGCTGGCGCGCATTCGGAGATTCAATGTTACTTCTCCCCCACTGAAGCTGCAGGAATTCATAATGCGCAGTGAGGTTGCCACACTTGAATTCTTGAGAGAAACGAAAATTCCCGCTCCGAAGGTGTTTGACTTCTGCTTGGATGAAGCGAACCCTGTTGGTGTTCGGTACATTCTCATGGAAAAAATGCCTGGGAAATCTCTCTCCTGGTCCGATGCTACCAAAGAGCAACGAATGAAGGTTATAGATCAGCTTGCTGATATCTATGTTGAGCTGCAAGCTCACCCCTTTGCCATGATGGGCTCTTTGGATAAAATTGGTTCTAAATTTGTTATTGGGCCGTTTGCGAGAGAGTCCCTGGCCGACTTTGGAAAGTCCGGCTTGGAAATGCTCGGACCGTTTTCCTCTTTGGAAGAATATTACAGTGCACACATTGAATTGATTTTGGACTTGATTGTGCGGCAAGAGGCCTATGCAAACCGTCCAGTGGACGCCTTTTTGATACATCTTTATCTCCAGGAAAACATTCTTGCAATTCTCCCAGATGCTAGCCTAGATGACGGAAAGTTCTATTTGAAGCATGCGGACGAGAAAGGGGATCAGATTCTGGTTGATGACCAGTTTCGAATTACAGGCATTATTGACTGGGAGTGGGCCCACACGGGTCCCAAATCTGCAGTTTTCAATTCGCCCATTGTTCTCCTTCCACTTGCCGAATTTTACGAAGGGGGAAATTGCCTAGGTGGCGAAGAATTGGCTTTTTCCCACTTGCTCGAAACAAAGGGGCATCCAGATCTTGGGGACATAGTCAAGAAGGGGCGGCTTCTTCACCGCTTGCAATTTTGCTGCGGTTATGACCTTCCTGACTGGAATGGGTACAAGGACATCTTTATGGGACTTGTCAGGGCCTTGCGCAACGATGGAGATTCGAACATCCTGGATTATGAAACCTGGAAGGCAGAGGCCATGGAGCGGTACCGTTCTGATCATAGACTGAAAGGTCTTTGCAGTTTGCAAATGTAGTTACCTAGCAAACCGAAGTTGCATCCGACTTGATCGATCTGCAATCCTAAGAAGAGCGTAGAGATATTGTACAGGAGACTGGCATAGCAAGAAGAACACTTGATAATTGACTGTCGCGTGGAAGAGACCGTCGTGAAGTTCAAAAACTTTCAACCAGCTACTGGTTTACTAGCAAGAGGACTTCAAACGCGACGTAGAGTCGGCACCTGATGACTGCATGCCTGCAACGAAGCACACAACGCCCCCGAAATTCTCATCAAGGTATCGTGACGGAAAAACAAAGAGTATCTTAAAACAGAGTCGGCCAGCCAAAATAAAGAAATTGCAAACAGGACGTAAATGTTTTCAATGGCTAAATAGCCTGATTCGATTTCTTAAATACAACATCCGCTTCAACATTGACTCCACTTTCAGGCTCCACCGTTGCCGCCATTCCAGCATCGTCCGCTATTGCCCTACACATCAGATTTCAAATTCCCCAGTCATGCCCGTTGATTGAAATCGACGGGCGCCGTCGACCAAGCACCACCGATAGCATTTGCGTTGGTTGCATTGGCTGGTTTCGCTGGTTTCGCTCCATGGGTCAGTGTGAGGATCATGACAGTGGACGAAGTAGTGGAAGATGGCAAAAAGAAATACATACGGAGATGATCCTTGCAGAATCTCTGGGAAGCCAAGGCCCAGGCGTTGCAGCCTTCCTTCACACATTTCATTGCAGGGCTGGGCATTTTGGGATACTGGGTGGCAATGTTTGGGTTGCGTTTGATGTATGCTCTTGCGCGGCTGTAGATTGGAACTATGTAGAAGTCTGTGGAGGTCTAAGAGACTACAAGATGACAGGAGGGCTTCATTTCCTTTTATACCATAACTACTACATTCCAGAGATCGCCATGGTCCCAATAATACGAGAAAATTTGCTGTACGATGTCTTTGAGAGGCTGCGTCCGTGAATTCAAGCCAATCAGCAAAGCTGGACGCCCGTCTTGAGGTGAAAATAGCACCGCCAAGTCCGGAAAGTAAGCCCTTGCTCTGAATACATGGCATTAACTGAAAATTTGCTCCTGCATATGTGGTGTCGAGAAATGACGCCAATGAACGGTGCATGAAGCATGGAAATCGATGGTCTTCCCTTAAATGAGTCGCGTGACACGCGATAGATCACACGGAGAGACATTATACAGGCCGAGAAGCAGTGAGACTGTTGGAAATCAGATGCATGAGTTTGTGCCTTTGGCTGCAGCAATCTCCTATCTTTAGAAGTCAATCAACCAGCTACGCGTCAAAGCACAAGCAGCGTCATACTAGATTGGAAAGGCACCGTAGTCCGACGAATCCAAAGTCGCTGAGAGGCAGTGGGATGTTTGGAGATCGCATGAGTCTGTGGCTTTGGCAGCAACCTCTGCTCGTCGTAGCAAATCAAGCCAAAACTTATGAAGTATCACTGCCCCAACAGCGAGCTGTAAACTATTGAAGGTGCAGGTCTGAGAGGGTATAGTATTAGTCGCAGCGCAACGCCGTACGGATTTGAAACAACAAGGCCACTATCCTAGGGGTTTCGGTTTTGCCTTCGCTCCAAGGCCGTGCATAGGAAAGCACCTGGCCAATTCACTTCGTTGAACGTTAGCCCTCTCACGTTGAAAAGTTTCCACTTTCTTAACACTCAATCTCACCGTCCAATAAAGTAGGTCTTGGATGTCGGCCTCCGTTGTGGACAGATTATAATGTGAGATAGCTTGCTCCACATCATATCACATCATATCACATCACATCACATCACATCACTTCACATCACTTCACATCACTTCACATCACTTCACCTCACTTCACGTCACTTCACTTCACTTCGTTTCACTTCGCCTCATTTCACTTCATTTCACTTCATTTCACTTCATTTCATTTCACTTTATTTCACCATTCCTCATACCACTTCCTAGCAACACTTATCTTTTCTTCGCAAGTTCTAAATGTCCCAACACCAGTCCAATCTGTCTCCTGAGAGGTTAGTGAGTCTGATCGACACTACTTGGAGAGACTTCTCAGACACTCTCGTGCCGCTCACCAACAATCAGCGAGAACGCATCAAAAGATGTTCGCTGCTGGTTACAACGGACCCTTCGACTATTCACAAGAACGTACCCAAAAAGCGGGCGTACACGATTTTGAATGATATTATGGGAAGTAGCGAAGAATTGTTCTTTCTTTGTGCATTGTCAGTTACCCCCACTGAACTCGGCACCATGAAATCGGATGCATATCTCGCCAACCTCTTGGAATGGAGGAAAGAAAAGACCTGTCCAAAAGGACTGAGATATGCAATTGAGCACGATTATTCTCTCATGCCGAAGAAGAAAGCCACACGTGAGTGACCAGAAATAACCAAACCTTGCCTAATAAAAAAAATACTGATATATTCAAGATGACCCGGCGTATCGAACGATCCTCCAAGAGGAAGACCTTGCCAATTTTATGAAAAGTTATTCCGGAATGCATGGATCATTTATGATCAGGATACCGGACAATATCAATGAAGACCCGGCCATTGAGATATCACGTGATATGTGCCAAGCTCTCATTAAATATGTTATGGAAAAGACACAGGAAAGGATGAAGCCTATCGAAGCACCTCAGGAACAAGGATAGATGTACAATACTGTGGGGTGCCCATACAGCATGCATGACTGACCCTGGGATATGTTTGCTAAGACATAGCCGGTCTCTCCGCGGCCAGTGTAAATAGCATGCACCTCTTCGCCACCGCCAGTTATCTGCGCGTAACCGCGCCCGCTACCCTTGTCAACCACAACTGCACACACGTTCGGCCACTGTTCGTATTTGAAATCGTTTTCACCGGTAGTTTCCGCGGGCGCGATTCGGACTTTGTCGTTCCCTGACATCTGGATGTGTCAATGCTTTACCAAAAAAAACCAAGGGAAAAGGAGAAAAGGAATAACGGAATATGTACCAGTGCCAAAGCATGCTCGCGCAGATTATTCTTATCATTTTCACTCCGGAACGCGCTCATTTGCGGGCCGTCAGATGTGATGATTGTCGCTCGACGGAGGATTTGGCTAGATGGAAGATAACCGTTTAGAAACCATCAAAAGAACAAACGACAAAGAGAGTGAGAAAACCGTACGTTAACCGGTTGAAACTTCGACTTTGGCTTGGAGTTCGAGGTAGAGTCGTACTCGCGATGGTGGAAAGTAAAGCCAACGAGGTCTTAGCAACAAATACTGCTGCTGAATGAACTATAGAGGAGAAAAACAGTAACGATCGATAAGTTTGTTGGAAAATGATGTGGCCTTCGGTGCCCAAAGAGATATTCTTTCCCAACTGTAAGACGTCAGTCAATTGTAGACTTGCCCCTCCGGAAATTAGTGCCTTTCTGGTTGAATCAGTCACGTGATATGAGGGGCCTTCCGGTCACGTGAAGATCAAGAATGTCTCATCCGAATCAATGGAGCTTGGTGATTGTATTGCGTCCCAGTCAGCGAACTCAGGGAACATGACAGGCTCGGAATGCTCGAAACTGTAATGGGGTACCGTAACTTCTATCGAAGTTTTTGGCAATATTTACCTATAACGGTCCGTGGCCTATTCATGATGTCTCGATGTGAAGAGAGAGAAAAGAGGTTAGGTAGGGTAAGATGGATTTGATAACACACGTTTGAATTCATTCCTGTAAGTATATCTACCTACCTTATTCTCTAATTTATTCTGGTCTGTTTGGCTACGATGGCGTCTTCGACGCCAGGCCATAGAAGGATGCTTATCACTTCCCCTCACTTCACTTCCCCTCATCTCACCTCACCTCACCTCACCTCACCTCACCTCACCTCACCTCACCTCACTTCACTTCACTTCACTTCACTTCACTTCACTTCACTTCACTTCACTTCACTTCACTTCACTTCACTTCACTTCACTTCACCTCACTTAACGTCACCTCACTTAACTTTACTTCGCACTATGTAGGTGGCTTAAGGTCAAATATCCATTGACAAAAGGGGTGCATATAGGGCTCCTGTGCGGCTCAAGGCTTTCTGGCCTAGAGTGGCAAGCACAGGGCTCCTTTGATCATCTAGCTCCCGTACGTCTATAGAATAAGTTTGAGCTAAACTTCGTTATGACCTCCTTACAAAAAAGCAACGTTTCTAGCCCGCCCAGCCCCATACCACAAGCAGGACAGTGCAGCTGGCGATAAGACTGGACAATAATACCAATGACGAGGATGGCGCCAAGGTACGGGACACTGGTACGGTTCAGAAGGTGTGTAATTTGTTTTTCTATAATAACCTCCAGATCGCAGATACTTCAGATAATTACTATATTGCTTTGAAGTGTCCCTACGGGATTGTATGGTTTTCCTCTTCACACTTATGATACGAGTGTCTAAAGCCTTATGCCAAATATGAATACATCCAGTGCTCTCTGGTCTCGCTTCTTAGGGCTCTTCGGATGCTGCAGAGCAAGGGAGCAGTCACAGGAAGGCCCTCAAGGTTAGGATCCCTTTTGGTAACTTGAACGACAATTCAATGACTCTCGAGCTAGAAGCAGAGTATCCGAATTCGGCGCTTTGCCCTCACGTTAAATATATTTCTGCCGGAAGTCTGGACAAGCTTGCAGTGAGTCTCCCGGAGTTGTTGCATTTTGTTATGTTTCTGTCTATGGATCTAACAACTAATCAATCAATAAAAAACATAGTCGGAGCTGCGCAATTTGAGAATAATAGATCGTGTTACACCGAGAGGTGACCAAGGCACAAAGGCATATTACGTGGTTCAACGCGAAGTCAGACAGGTGACGAAGACCCCAGACGAAGTTCACGATATAATGAACTTGTCGTTTGAACGCTACAAGATCCTGCGACCAGAGATAATTAGATCTAACATTGGATACAAACTGCTGGTAAATTGTGGTCTGGAAAACTTTGAAACTGTCCGAGAGTTATACCACGCTTCATTCTACTGGACCCCTTCCGCTTCATGTTCTACATAGACCCATCATTCTAATTTATAGAGTCAATGGCAAGCACTCCTCCAAGCTCGCCTACTCGCCAAGGCAATGCTAATCTTTCGTCTTGGTATGGATTGACAACGAATTGCTACCACTCTGCGTTGAGACCGAAGTAATACCTCTTGTTTCCGGTTTGAACGAAGCGGGGCTTGTAACAGCAAGCCCTGTGAGGATAGACTTTCAATAAAAGAAAATAAATTAGGAATTTAGGCAAATAACAAACAAGATGCCTGTATGAGACACGTTCGATAGGCAAAGAGCAGCTAATCACCCGTGCCTCTCTGCAATGGGAATAGAGCCATAACATCGAATCGAGGTGTGCTAATTTGGCAACAAGCCATGTCAGAAACGTAGTTCAAGATTTTGCAGGGATTGTGCAACTGCATCGCTTCGTGTTCCAATTAGAATACTAAAAATACACGCCCACCCTGCGGCTGCAGAATGGAGCTTTAGGGCGATCTGCGGCGACAGCTAGCAGATGTACTGACTATCCTATCTAGTATTTAATGCCTGCACTATCCCCGAATATGAGCGTGCGAGATGAACTTTAAGCCAACTAAAGCCAGTGGTACCGCCTCCTCTGAGGTCTATCCTGTCCTTCGCTCTTTCCCTTAGCCTCATTGGCGCCTCATCACATTCGAGCTGGATTCATTCAGAAAGAAATATCTGAGAACCACCAATTCTGCTATTACAATGGCGGAAGACGAAGAAAAGATTGCTGTTATCAACCGCATTTTCAAAGAGGCAAACAAGCATTACGTCTGCCCTGGTTGTCTCAAAAGTTACGCCGATTTCAACCTATTGAAGAACCATCTCAAGAGGAAGACGGACGAAATCCATGCAGGGCTTATGTCTGAGGAACAGTCAAGTTTCGACCACAGCTATAGAAGGCTAGTTGGGCGGGAAGATAGGGACGGGAAATTTGTTTTGCCCTCTGATCGAGCAGCTGCATTTAAAATAAGCTTTTTTGTTCAGCACAGAGTGTTGAAGATTCCGCATCCCGTTGTCTCGAGGATGCAATCACTTTTGGAAATTGCAGCGGCATCGGGGATGAAGTTTGTCTGCCCTCAATGCGTTGATGAAGACTTTGGATATTTCAACACCATGACTGATTTCCGAGATCACTGTCGACAAATGTGTAACAAAACACACGGGGGCCTGATGTCAACTGATGAGGGGACGTTTTTCCCGTATTACTTGGGAGCCATGAAACGTAAGAAAGTCAAGGACCCGCTGTCTGGACGCCCCCGACGTGGGCCACCGTCGTTCCACCAGTATCTAAGCATTGGTTATGTCTTTCAAGAAAAAGCGTAAGAGCATTGATATCTTTGCCAAAATGATCTGATCTAACATGACTATTAGCTTTGGCATAACACCTGAACAAAACATCTCTGGGGACGTTGGTACGAGCGATTAGCTGGGTTCTTTGGAAAAATATATATTATTGAGAAATGCATCGAAGATCCGAAACAACAATTAAATTTAGTGCTCCTGTGCATCAGGGCAAAGAGGGAAAGGTAAAATCAGAACGATCAGCACCGGAAACAAGCGAAGAAGAAAGTACTCTGGGAGAGACCACATCATGTATAACCATCTCTCCTAGATCTAGTATTATCTTTCACGGCTTCCATGAGGTTGAAGGGGCTGAACTGAATTTGGAAGCTTTGTTGACGAATACCGTGCATGTCCAAAGAGAATCCACAGCCAAATGAGAATGCCACACCCCCCAATAGAAAATTTTCAAGGCCATTAAGTACAAGGAGTGGTAGTCGCGTTAAAAGGCGGCAAAACTTCTCCTTGAAGTGTTCAAGTGTTTCAGCGCGGTAAATAGAGTTGTAACGCGGGTAGACTTGTGTGCAAACTGGATGCAGTTGCTCCAAGGGCTTAGCCAAAAACTGGAGAAGCTCACTGGAAATTGATGCACGTTCCGGGTCAAAGTGCCAAGCGAGGAGCGACAGCATTGCTTGAGCTCTGTCTGTAAACTGTACAACAAGTTCTTGTGTATAGATTTCCAGTATTCGGTTTCGGGCCAAAGCCTGGAGCGTCCTCTTGCCAGGGCTCTTTGTGAGGGCTTGGCATACATTGATGAGACTAGATGTCTCAGGCTCCAAATGAAGCAACGTTGATTTGTTTCCCAGCTTTATGTCGCTCAAAAACAATCCATGAAGGGCTTTCAACGGGGTTTGCGCCATGTGTATATCCGCAAAATTTAGCGACGTATGCTTCGGAATTTAAGCGACTAGTCACGAATATGGGTCCGAACCTTACCTCGGAGGTCTGCTCTACCGCCATGGTAGGGAGAATTTGGTGTAGAGAAGAAAACCCTTTGGGTTGGCAATCACTGAGGGAAGAGGATGTAAGAGCCTTTCTGGGCTATTTGTATAGCAGCAAAAGACTTGTACTGGGGCTTTATACCAATACGGTGGAACTCAACGCTTTGGCCAAATTGGAGAGCCCACAATGGCCCGTGAGAAGACAGACATCCCTGTCAGCTCTGCAGTAGCGCCAGTAGTAACAAGTCTAGATCATAAGCAAAACACAGCACCAAAACGATCACATAGCTGTAAAGCTAGTTTTGTGGGGCTCAGTATGTGTCGACTAACCCTGCCGAGCATTGACGCGAGGATCAGCATAGCTTCGTAACCTGGTTCCTAGGAACCTGTCAGTAATGAAGCCCTGTAATGGCAAATGTATACGTAAGATGACCTTTCGTTCTCCCAGAGGTAACTGAGTAGGAGTAGACACCGGGATAGGTTTCTGGTTGCCGCTTTAAACGACTGGGACACTGGTTAAAAAGTCGTTGCGCCACCAACAACCCACCTCTTCCGGTTTAGAGGCCCACAGCAATCATATCCTCAAAGTGCACTCCTCAGAACCATGGCATATCAGTAACGATGGAGGCTCTATTCAGAACTACAGCATAAATCAGCTCCGGGGCAATGTAAGTCGAACGGGTAAAATCCATGGAGTGGTCGACCCCTGCTTGGCATGGGCTCAAATCTATGTTTCTTCGCATACTGGGGAAGGGGTTGAATTGTGAGACGATAAAGTATACCTGTATAAGAATGAATTTTGTCGTAGCATACGCACTAAACGAAGTTCGCTGAGCCAACCATTTCGGGAACAAGTCCTTCCCTTCCCTACTCTTCCCACACTTTGGCCTTGGATGTGTTGCAACTTGCTAGGGTAAAGAAATGCGCCATTACAATACCATCATTATCTGTACCGGTCCAAAGTTTCCCTTTACACGGAGCAGTATTTGTTTTAGCGGGCGATGGATCTCGGTGAAGGAAAGTAAACAAGTTGATTCAAGAAGACTATTTAACACACAATCAATTGACACCCTCTGAAACAGCAGCTACGCGATGTAGTGCCATTTAGGTGCGGTTTGCTTCCGATTTCAATCCAGCGGAATTGAGACAGGCCCAAAGATTCGTAAGTTCGGATGAAAATTTTGCGAGTTCCGAAGGTCCCATAGGCCGACGAATATACTTTTCCCAAATCGTTTGGCAAATCTCCAGCTGCTTGAGCTTGTGCTCCGCAAAAAAGGGAGGAGACGCCGCGAGACTCCGAAAGAGAGAGTTGAATCATAGTTCCATCTCAGCCGAGACAATAGTATTATCTGCCACTGGGCAAGGCCTGAGACGAATTTTTCCAGTCTCTCTGGTGGGGTTGGAATTTCGGAAGGAATTTTATGGCTGACATGGTTTCTGAGCGACACATTACTATCCAAAATCACGAACTTCAATCGAGAAGCTACGCAATAGGTAGCTACTGCAGAGATAGCTGCGAGCTTGTCAAATGCGTGTGGTTGCTGTAAATAAGGGACCAGTCAGCTTCATAAGAGAGAGTAGCAAATGAAAGAGGCTTGACTGACATTCATCGTGGTTGGAACGTAGACCAAGATAAGGCGCAAGTAGACAAGATCGATTCCATAAGATTATTGAGGACAGGTGGCCAACGAGATTGGACATTCCAATGGGAAATACACAGAGATGGTACTAACTTATATCAATATACACTGAGTATTTACTCGACTAATTGCGTGTTATATGCATAGATCCCTGTAAATTCATACTCCCTGATTACAATTAGATGGAACCCAATCATTTGGCAAGATTGGGGGAATCGAAGGGCCCATGACAGGCTAGCCACCCCTGTCAGCTTTGTAAAAGGCTAGCGATTACAAGTCTGGATCAGTGTATGCAAAACGCTGGGCTAAGACGATCACGTTGCCGCAAACCTACCTGTGTGGGGCTCAATACTTCGATTAGTGCATCCGACTAACCATGCCGAGCAAGGGCTCCACATAGCGGCTCCCGGGACTCTTGGTATCAGCCCCGTAATTACGAAAACTTTCAATACATCATAATTCATCGAATTAAATCATGAGGGAAACGGTGGGAAAGGACAACCAGGCAGAGGGATCCTGATGCCGCGCTTGTGACGCCTGGAACACTGGTATGAAATGAGGACCCACCACCAAACCACCTCCTCCCTTCCTTTCACACGCCCCTGCCGCCCGCTGAGGGCTAGATCAAGTCCATCATTTCCAGGATGAGTTCATGCAACCGCAACGCACATCACACATCTATTTCCATCTAGTCTTGTGCGCTTTAACTAACGGAGTCTGCGCATTGATCGTTTACATGATCTCTAATATATATTTGTATATATCCCGTGCACTCATTTTTCTTTTCTATGGAGCAACCTCTATAAGCTGCCCCTTCCAACCAGTTCACAATCGGTTGAGTTACGGTCACTTTTGTGTCTGGAAGAACGCCATAGATTCATATCCGATTGACCATGGATTTTCCTCCGTCAAATTTTGCCCAACTACTGCCAGATAGCAATATACCAGGTCTCAATGCCAACGGCAACTGGTTGGTATCCAATGCAAACGGGCATTGGATTGAGACGCATCATCCATACCAAAGCGCTGCTTTCATCAACCCCGGTAGGGATTTCCTCCACAATCTTTCATTGAGATTCCGGAACCAAGGGACGTTTAGAGAGACTGATGCTCGCAAAAGATCAAGTGAACCCGTCAGCCCTGCCCAGTTCGAATGCCTCACAACTTACGTATCCGCCAGTACACTATCCATTTTACTTCCATCCACCGCCGCCAGATAGAAGACTTGGCGTAACTTTCAATCTTGCCAACCCGCATCAAAACCGTCCAATTCGCCTGCCCCTTCACAGCACACTGATAACTGGACAACGTGGTCAGCCTTATGGGCAGCAGAACTCGCGGCTTTATACTGGCTCCTTGAACGAAATGCCACCTGTTTCCCAAAACCGCACAGGGGATATCCATAGGATTTCATGGACTTCAAGCCCTGGCGCGACTCTAAAGTCAACGAGTCCGCAGCCTGCCTCTGTGCAGCCTCCTGGGCCGTCCTCTTCAACCCAATTGAAGAGACGCCGTGGAGAAGTGGCGCACACCTGTGTGAAATGTAGCAGGTGTTTCGGAAGACACTCAGATTTGAGGCGTCACGTCCGCATCCGTAAGCAACTGCCAATTGTCCAAAAACTTGCTATACTGACTCGATCATTATCAGACACCGGAGAAAAGCCATTTATTTGCCCGTGTGGGTTGGCATGTTCTAGAAAAGACGCACTGAAGCGCCACATCAGCACGTCACACCGAGATGGGCTCACTTCGCCAAGCGGGCCACTCAAACCAATGGTTCAGGCTATTTTCAAGCCCCAAGCCCAGAACAACAATGCTTTTCTTGATATTGCCCGGAATGGCCTGACTCAGGCTGTTGCTAAACCGTCCTATCGTGTCATCCATGTTGAAGAGGGTCGGACACAGACAAAATCCGTGGCTGACTTCAAAGACCCATTTTGTATAGAATGGCAAGTATGGTCGTTGCAGGGAGTGCCACTGTAAGTCTTTTGCTTTCGACAGGTTCAAACCATGTTAATCAAGATTAGGAGTGATATATTTACTCATCGGGTGAAGTTGACAGAAGATAAAATCGTTGAGACTGAGAGAGCGATACATCCATGGCTGTTGGAGCCATGCATGGCCGACAGCTTGAAAAAGGACCCGGTCGTGGGAAAACCAAGGGTGATCGTTAAAGAAGGGTATGTCTCTAGTTTACCATCACAGACATCATTTACTAACTACAAATGCCAGCTCTACTGCCAATGACTGCTTGTGGGTAAGCTATTCCAACACATCCTGCGCTGTTCTAATAAAATAAAGAGCATTTTCAATACGAGCAGCAACAATACTCGTACCAACGGGGTGTGAAGATAAAGCACCGGTCACGGTTAAAGCCGACTTTTTAAAATGGATTCCAATTGTGATCACGGAGGACAGTACCGCCTCAAGACCTCCATTGGTAGTTGCACCTAATGAGGAAGTCTCTCTGTCCATGACCAGAACAGGCACGCTAAAGAACCCGGCGACTGTTCACTTGGATAGAGCAAGTCATCCACAGAGCAGCTTCATTTACAAGGCAATCCCAGACCCAGATGACGAACTTAATGATCCTGCCTGACCAAGGCCTACCTTGGACTGATTATAGATTGATAAGATTCCAGGGGGTGACCGTCAAGTTGTCATAGAGATGCTTCGAAAAACCGGTATAGCTTGCAAGGGCACTTTTTACGCAACAGTCTTTGCGACTTTGAGTGACCAGGCATGCACAAGCGCTTTGAGAGCATGGATGCACACACCTACAGCTTTACCACAGGACTGTGGTATGCTGGCCAGCCGGACTCACTCGTTCATCAAGTCATTAATTGCAGAAAACCGGAGACATACCCTTTCGGTGGTATTTCAAAGCAGCTGCATTAAAAAGCTCGAAGGAGATATTGCAGGCCTGAAAATGGCACCGATAGGTAAATGGAGGATCTGCCTTTGCTTGTGGTTAATAAAGCTGGAAATTCCCATCAGGGCAAGCTGAAAAGTGCGCCATACTCTTGATCTGCGCGTAAATGTTGCTGACAACTAGCAGAATTCATCTCGCATATCCCTAATCTATGAGATTAATCAACAGCAATGGAAGATGTTCTGCCAGAGTTCTACCCTGGTTTGGGAGTAGAAGCGCAAAGCCGTTTACAGCTTCATCTATCTGGGAGTGCTTCGTTGCAACAAAGGTTGCCGTCAAACGGTACTTTTTGTTTCTGCAGATTGAGCGAATGTTTGTGTATTGTTGTTCCAGGGAGTCCACTACTCAAGAATCGCATTTCCGAGACATAGACTTCAATGGGCTATGGATGTTATCATTTTAAATAAATTTGTACCAATTCTGTGCTTTGCTTGATGACTGGTGAGGTTTGAGGTCACAGCCTCGAAGCTCTTGTTTGAAATAGTGCCTTTTCATATCTAGCTTTCCGGTTGTATTCTATGCGTCAACTCTGTTTCAATTCTTCACCACGAAAGAAGATTGTAATGTGAAAAAACATCAGAAATTATTATAGGACTAAATTCAGTAAAGCGCTCTAGGTTGGCAAATTTCCCTTGCATTGAGGGTAAGAATTGAACTTTTCTTGTCACCCATCTTGATTATCAAACACAAAAAGGTCCGTAGAACAGAACATTTGAAATCCTTGAATACTGCCTTCTGAACACGTCAACGAAGATACAGGCAGCTCGATTCATATCAACGGTCCCTACAGAAGAACGCAATAAAGCTCTTTGGGTCCATATTTCCGTTGGCGAGTTTGCTGTTGTTTTTGACAGAACCAGCCTCAAGGCTATGTTTTCCGACTGAGCCAGTTCTCTTGCCATCGATAACGCTACCGTTAATTACTTGCGAGCTACCATCGATTTTGGTGGCCTTGCTAGAGTGATCTGTAGCTGCATATCTGATTAGCTGCTGCATCAGAAAACGTGTAGGCAAATCAGAGAGTGGCGGGAATGGTGGTGGTACCTCGGCTATCTTCCTGGTCGTTTTTACCTGGGGCAAGACCTGACGGCGGAGACTGGTTAAACAACTCAAAAATTAGTGCAAATTCGAGAATAAGCAAGGAAAAAACTTACCGTAGACTCCGCAAGTAACCGTCTCCCATCTGTTTTCTGGTGGGACGTGATGGACGATCTACGATTGTGGTCACGAGGACTTTGGAGCGTGATTTCAGTCATACTGATGAATCAGTCTGAGAATGGATGAGCAAGTTGGGATTTGATTTGTTCCTTGAGTTGGTGCAGAAATGGGAGTGGACGGAGAAGTCCCTGCTTTTATGGCGGACTCTAACCCCTGGTAAATACGAGGTATGCCGTAAAATTCCTGCAAGTTTCATTTAATAGGCTGAAAATAGCTGCGTAGTCAATGCCCGTAGTGACCAGTGAAAAGGCTTGGCCGGTGGAACCAACAGTATATGCGAAGCGAAGGTTCAGACCACGGAATTGTCGGCTACCTCGGACCCCTTGGTTAGGAAACAGCCTTTGGCGGGCCCATCTATATCCTGAATGGGCATAGCACTGAGATTTATCGCATTGGATCACCCTCACTAAAGTCGTGCTATCTGGCGGGGGGTAGAGCCGGTTCGCGGACAGAGCGGCCCTCCCTGTTTACCCCACACAGCCTTCGCACAGGGTAGCATTCCCATTCTTCCTGTGAAACCAAGCCTCGAGGTACTCCAAAAAACCGACTTGTCCTTGGCATTGGGGCGGCTTCAGCCACGACAAAGGCCCTAGTATGCAAGCATGACCAATAGCGACCAACTTGCTGGTGGATAACATCAGTTGATCTGCTACTTGGACAAACAGAAGGTTTCTACCGAGGATTTGGAATCAGTCTCGGTAACTCCGATTATCCTATCTGGGCAAGAGCAGACTACAGTATCTCCGACCGGGTCCACCATGACCTGTATCTTAAATTGTGCGCCCGTCCTTCATGGACAGCTATGCTCACTAGCTCAGCCAAATGACGTTTATGCATCTCGAGGAAATGTCACGCCTCCTTTGACAACATTGTCTCTCATGTCTCCCTGTACAGCACTACTTGTCTGTTCGCTATCTTCTTAATTGGATTGAATCTCAACAATGCCCCTGTGTTCCCAATAAAGGAGTGAGTCATCGTTCTGATTGGTATTATCCCTGGAGAGCTCGGGAACTACGGACTCGGAAACATTTCGGTCTCCAGATGACAGTTTCAATCATTCATAACTTGCAATGGAACTACCGAATCTCGACCCTTGGACGCCTACGGAAACGGATGCTATGTACGATTTGCAAGTACCGCCGCCATATATATCGATGCCTCACTCAATGAATTACTTGGCGCCATCACAATTGCAAGCTCCCATCCCAATAAGTTCGTCGACCGTCTACGAATCATTTGCTTCCCCGAATCGGGCCCCAATATCGGCCCTACCCTCGTCGCTGGCGCGTGCGTCTCACTCTTGCAAGAGACCTGCTGCCGAATCAACACCTCCTGGGCTGCTTACCGACGAATACCGACGAATGATATGCTTATACCACGAGCAAAACAAGGCAGCGAAACAGACTGAAATTGGAGGTTAGTATGGTATATTTGCGTTATTGCAATATGTTGACACGGAGAAATGAATAGCCTTATTCGGAGTGGAAAGAAGGTAAGCTAGGAATATTTTTAGAACATTTCTGTACCCCGATGTACCCTGACATGACGCTATAGCACTGTTTCAAAAATAGTCAAGCGGAAAGAAAGATATCTCGTCATCAACAACCGCGGCCAGCCTCCAGAAAACCGAACTAAGGGGCGTGTTCCTGACCTTAAATCGGCGCTTTCGAACTTGGTAAAGCAATACCAAAGAAGCAAAATTCCAATAAATGACAAGATACTCATGGATAAGGCGCTTGCTTTTGCCCACGCCTGCAGTCTTACCGAAGGCAGCCGAGTATTGGACAAGAACTGGCTGGAGAAATTTAAGTCGGAAAACAAGATGTTATTTGCCCACAACCGGCCTTGCACGAAGGATGGCCAAGCAAGGCGCACCCAGCCGCAATGCATCAACTCGAATATAATAACCAGAAACATGAACGATGTTTCGCCAATCAGTGTCCGTGAACCTCCTTCGACTGATCAGGCACGACGTGCCATGGAGCTCGTAATAGACTATTTCGACAAGATCGGGAAAGTGTCTCCCCAGGAACGTGTGAGCATTGGCAGAGTTATGGAACGTCTCGAAAACGACCACAGGATGTTCCGCGTGAGGAATAGCTGGTGTGTCCAACCCTCGGGGGAGGTTCCCCTTGGTCTTGATGCTACGCTTCCTACCAATTTGTTTTAGCGTATCATTTGCGATGGCTGTTCTTTTCATAGATGTAAGCCTTGCGCTAGTTTCTTTCCAGCTCAATAAAATTTGCTCTTCACTTAAATAAACATTCCAACTTCGCGTCTACCCAACCTGAAGCCCCAGAAATACTAGTATCGCATAAGGTATAATGCACAACAAAGCGGATTGTCAGTCCCGAGAAGAGGCTATATATCTTTCCAAGAACACAATGACAGTTCGTTCGTATTCCGTAATATACACATTGAGTACAAACAATCCCCCATTCTTGCACAGGCCCGTACAGACCTCCGTCCATAATTGTGATCTTCATCAATGGGGGCATTGGTATAGAATTTGTTGCCGATATCTTTGCAAAACCTACAGAGACGGTAGGATGATATACAAGCGTCTTCTCGGGGCTTAATCATGCTGTTGCACCGTGCAATGTATTCTCTGTGGGGGACACCAGAATCTGTTGCTGTTTCGGGGGTCTGCTGGTCGAGGGGTGGTTAGATTGAGAGAGGATAGAGAATAATGAAAGACCGTGTTTATCTGCTGTAGATTTGGCCACAAGGTGCTAGCTGTGGAGTCGCAATTGCCCATTCTCGCCTCCTGGCGGTTCAATACGTCGAAGCACCATAGTCGCAAGTAGGACACCTTTGGAAAGTGGGTAGAGTTAAACACTCCAGAAGCTCTTCCAATGGATTAGAACTTGGATCGAAAGTCAGGTGAAGCTGAGCTCAAAATGAAGCGTGGGCGAGTAAGGAAACTGTAGTGAGGAAAAGGGTGGAATCCGACCCGCTCTGCCTCAACTAGCCACTCAGACACTGGATTTGTGCTACAGTCACCGGTGAAATGGGATAGCCCGTAAATACCTGCATGGGCCCCCTGGGTACCATTTCTACCATTGGAAGGATGGGAATGCTGGTCATCACTGGCCGGAGAACCGCAAGCAAGCTATCTCTAGCCATCACTGCTGAACACAGCCAATTTGGCGTTGCAATATTATCCAATGGCGGCACCATGCTGGCCTTGCTCAGTTGGCCCTTGGTGTTTGAAGCCCACTCAGTTGGGTATGTGCATGCTCCCCTAGGTGCTTTACTGACCCAAGCAAATATCCAGCCGCATTGCCTACTGTTTCAACGGCGTCCTCGGTCAAAACTGGGAATGAGTCTAATTTCCTCAGGTCGATTACTTCGGAGCAATACCGGCTCAAAGCAGCGTCTCGTCCACTCCAGGATGGAGGATAGAAGGCAGGCTATGTGCTACAACCGGCTCATTCTGTCGATGTAAAGGAGTAAGTATTGTGTTTCAAGGGTTGCGAGATCCGCCTCCAGTTGATATTCGAGCCTGGGCAACCCGTATTCTCCTTCACACGCCACGCCAGTGAAGCTGCTTGTTGCCATTCTATCTGATACGTGATTCCACCATGCTCATTCTCTTTTCCTCTAAACCAGGTCGACCATGATCAGGCATCAGGGCACGGTTCCATATTCGGCTCAGCCTTCTTCCTACAACTATCGTTAAGGAGTTGGAAGATTGGTGAGACTCGCCCCGTTAGCATTCACCTCCGACCGCCGAAACGATCCCCATCGACCGAAGCAACTCCCCAGATGTGACCTGCGCGGTTGCTTCTCTCCGCTGCACCTCTACCTTCTGCAATACACAGTCAGAATCAATCAATCCAGTGCGATATATGTGTCGGTGCTGGTTATCCCGAAACCAACCGCATATCTGGCTCTACACGGATTACGATGAGCATGCAACTCAATAGAGCTAGGTCATATTGGGGATATCAATGGAAACACTACAATTGGTTTGATTGCTGGAACACACAGAACTGGTAGGTGATGTATGGGGCAAACTATGAGTGAGATTTTGAGAACAGGCGCAACGCGTAAAATGGCTACGATTTTTTTGGTCGCATCTCATATGTACCTGCAGCTAGACTAGGTCTTATTGTTTCTTTTCAGGCTAGCCAGTCCACGAGGTATATATACTGCCTATCATTGCCAAACAGATACTCCCCAAACTCTAGCGCGTCTCTAGATACCCTAGCCTACGAATGCGAGCCATCTCTATTACTGCCAGTTGGGCACAAAACGGGCACGTCACAAAGATTCCTCCTCGATATCTGCAAGTCAAATTACGATGGACAGAGCAACTTGATGGACAGAATGAGAATATGACCATTCATGCCCGCATAAACGTTGCTTTGAAGTTGGACAAATCGAAAATTGATGGACACGTGGAACGACCTAAACACCGAGCGAATAATTGTCTTCATGTAGATAGTAAATGATCCGTCGAAATGAAGCGCCAGTCTTGATTTCGGCTTAGTATTAAAATATTTCTTCAAAAGAAGTTCCGAGATCGTTATAACAGGATTATGACTTGAGTAACCTCAGCTTGCCCAACAGGCAGCTATAGAACGCTTAATTAATATCAAATTCGCTACCATCTGGAAAGTATTGACTGGAACAGCGGAGCCGATTTTTGCTCCATATAAGGCTCGTGCAGGTCATAGAATTAGAAGAACATACATCAACGCGGTGCTTTGTTTTAAGAGCAGAGGCTTTCAGTTCTCGGCAGATATACGCGGAAGGGAAGCGTCAAAGTCTTGTGTCCAGCTCATCGTGGAGGAGTGCGTATATGTTTGCTGGAAACGTGCAGCAAGACCACTCAGAATTTCGAACATATCTCCCAGGTTGCATGAGTTCTCTTTGAACAGTTGTTGAATGGGGCCTGCTATGAATGAAAGGCGGGGCGTATCAGACAGGGGCATGTTGTTTTCCACGTCAGGTTGAAAGACCATGAGACATTTGGCAAGGGTTTGATGAGCAAATGGACTTAGTGTCCGAAGATGCTGTTAGACTTAGCCAGCTGGCCCTGAAATATGCGGGTATATTGCCCTGAAGATCTTGGATCACTAACCTTCTCCACCGTTGAATAGAGAGTGATTTCCTTCGGGTATTCCTTCATGTGTTCCAGGAAAAGAACCCCAAGGGCCCTGTGTTGCTGAAGAAACCATTCTACTGATGGTGCTTCATACCCAAGGGCGGCGCGAACAATGTCTTCGAAAGCTATCTGTCTGAATTGGAAGTGACTTTCCGCTTCGATATCCAGGGCGATTGTTTGAACGTCTGATAAGTCTTCTGGTGCAGGGGGAAACCAGCGCCACGGAGTCAACTGAGGAGGTGCAGGTATCGATCGACGTAGGATCTCTCTCACTTTCTCATGATTCGACAGTTCAGAAAGGGAGTGATTCTCAGAGGTCTCTGGTATGGCAGCGAGGAACGAATTGAGTACACTCGGAGGGCGTCTCTCCAGTATGTACTGTACATATTCCATGTCGCGAAAGAAGCCGAAGCGAAGTCCCTGGAAAATGGCTTCGATGTCATAAGCCGACAGCGTGATGGCTGCATATTCTTCCCACCATCGATCCCGCACAAAGAGTTGAGGAGTCTCCAACTTTGACAGGAAGATATCGGGAGATGATTCCATCAAACTAGGAGCATGACTGGGAAGGTTGTGCACCATACTGGATTACCTCGGGAAACAAAACTATCGTTTTATCGAGGACGGGGAATGAATACGAATTCGAAGCCACCTTCAGACATAGTATATATCCGCCTTTATCTTACCGCTAGTATTACCGTGCGTATTGCAAAGAGCGGTCACCCCTGCATGTTCTGGCATTGCGAACTTGGTTGTGGTGGGGCCAGAATGAGGGCTGGATTATGCGGGTGTGATTGGGTCACTGCCTACGCGCCAGACAGCACCGCTACCAGCAGCAAGTGGTGATCCTGACGCGCTTTGACTGCTGCAAATGAGGTACCGTTGGGAGACTTGGAAGACCAATCCATACGCTAAGGCCGTGTGGGTGGCAACTCTTAGCTCACCTTTCTTACATGTACACGGACTAAACAGGAACCTCTATTTATTTTCCAAGTTAGCAACGCCACGTCTCTTCCATCTATGAAGCACAAGCTCCCCTACAATGGCCCAGCCTAGTTCTCGGCTGCTATCCCCAATAGTTTCGCAACGAGTGCGATTATTCTTAAAAACAAAACTGGTAGGCATGAGAGACATGTGAGAGAGTCGTTCTCAGCGAGGCTCACGAGAAGGCTCTTAGGCTAATTGATCAAGGTCGTCATGAAGCACCTGGCGCCAGAGACTCAGCCTGTGAGACAGCAAATACGGTAGTGTGGCAGAGCTGTACTTAAAAGGTCTCGAGTAACATCCCATCGGCTGGGTTACAGCAGCAAGTTGGAGAACTGAGGCAGACAGGCAGTGTGGCATATCTCAACACACTGCGAATGGATTTCTGATTGAGCCTTCGATCAACATTATAATCACAGAGCATCACGCATAGTATTTCCGAGGGGCAGATCCATCCATTGTTGTGTGGGCTTCCACCTTTGCAACACAACGACTGAACGCACCCGCTTTCCTAGCTCCGAAACAGGCATAACGTTCTACCAGAGACCTTTCCGCGGAATGGTAGCCACACGGTCTCTTGGTAGAAACTAGGAAATTTGAAATCCCGCCTTTGGCGCTGGGAGCCCCAGTTTGTATTGTATTTTGGTGTATGCGAAAAGGAGATCCGATGGTCTGGAGGACAATTCTTGGGCGCGTATGCACGGGCATTCTGTCTAGGAGATTCCTGATGGTGCTTGGATTCGACTCGTTGAAGCAAGGAACTGCGAATGACATGGAGCTATTAGCTCTAGAATGAAAGGCTAGATTGAGATTGCTGACGAAAATACCTGTAAAGGAAAGGGGAAGCCCTCAAAACCTTTCTTGAACTCTCATCGGCGGCGACCTTAAGGGAGGGACACTAGAGTGATTTGTTTCCGAATATGACAGGACTGTCCGAAAGTATACTGTGTCCCGACTGACTCTGGAATCAATCAGCTCACTGTTCAATGCATACGAGATTTACTGCGGATCAAAGAAAGCAAGAAGGCTGGATGGAAGGAAAAGGTTGGGAAGGAAAGATGAGACCACGCCCGAGTGACTACGGACATCTTTTACCTAGAGACTCTGCTTTGAGCCATGCTCAGGTCCTGCTCACACGAGTGCCCCTAATGAGGTCTCTCCTGGGTAGGGAAACTCGGAAGAATTCTGGTCGATCAACAGAAGCAGAGTGAATCGAAATTCGGGGCTTTCGTTTCGTTTGCCTATCGACTCCATTGAAGAATGGTCAAATATGAGGCTGGGGTGGGAAAGCCCCTCAAGAAGAATAGTTCACGAGTGGCGTGGACGAAATGAGTTGTGGGAAGCAGGTCTGGGCAAAGGGAGGGAAGTACTGCGGTCTTCCTGCTTTAGGCGAAGAAGATTTCGGTTCATCTACTGCCATTAGTTTCAGGCGCACTCTTCTCCGGATTACCTCGTCCAGCTTTGAAGTCTGTGACTGACACCACAACTGATTTATTTTAATACCTTTGTTCTCTCTTCGTTATTGCACTGGACAGTTTTGTTTCACACCAGAGGAGGGGCGTCAGCGCGTCACTTGAGCCCATCGGGGTACGAGTTGCTCAACCGAGCACTTCAAGTTTTCGGTGTGAGGCTTAAACGCAAACAACAGGTGACTGACATGGCAACTTAAATGTGTTAATTTAGCTAATCTCCATAATGACAGTTTCGACCTACCCATCCAACTTCAGCCATCGATCGGTCGAGACCAGATTACCACCACATTCGATGGAAATGAGCCTACCTCCGCACAATCCCAAATGTTTCTAAGAACAAGTTTGCCCCAAGACATCTCGACTTGGATACGACTGCTATTCGACTAAGGCAACTTGAATGAGCCAGCGACCGTGGTACGAGCCCCCGGGGCTCAAGTAATCGATCGATCGATTATCCCTGTTGCAAATGTTCATGTGCATGCCTCCGAGTGCGACAGCTTCACGAATCCTGATGAGACAGTCACTGAAAGGCACATATTTTATTCAGGCACACTTGTGCCCCGGAGCGAGCTGAGACAGTCCTCGCCATAGTTCGGACGTAAAAAATGATCTACCGTTACGCCGTGTGGGATAGACTGGGCTCGAAATGCTATGCACTTGAACTCTTGCACCTTGAGACGATGGAGTCATAATTTTCTCTTGAACATACAATATGCCCTACAGAGCTCGTACTTACAACCTTCCCTCGGCCGGCACTGGGGATACGTATGTAAGCGCACATGCATTTCCACGCTTGAGCCTCTAAATGCTAACAGAAGTACTCTTCCAGTTCCCAATGACGACTGCACGAAATGCGTATGATAACCACATCATCACAAACGAGCGAACCCTTTTTATCCTGCAAGCCGCCCTCGCAAGGACTGAGTCACCACGCCTATTGCCTATTCTGCCTCGCCGCTCCTTCGTCGCCTCGTGGTATCTGATACAGGACTGGTCTGTTGCACGAGATATGAAATAAGTGCGAGTGAATGGCGTGCCCTCCACGAACTATTGGACTTGTGAGGTGCGTTCTCCTCGTTGATTTCTTAAACCTTCGCGAAAAAAGAGGCACAGTAGCCTTTCAGTGCTTCTGGTGCCCCTGAGTTTTAAGAAAGATATAAAAGTGAATCTGGAACCGCGCCGCTCTGAATAACGATGATGTCATATTCGCTGAGAACTTCCCAAGAGAGGCCAGAACGGTCCAGAAAGAATAGAGAACACGTCTAGGACTCAGATATGGGCCTCAAAGTTAGACATCTAGTGAACATATACTACGAGTAACCGGTGCCCGAGTTGGAGACGAAAGGACGGAAATCTCACTTCCACTACCAATCAATTCACGGTGAAATCTTCGTACGAAAGCTTTCACCAAAGCGTGAACACAGGCGAGGCTGAATGCAGCGGTCGATGTCCTTGCCCCCAGCGTTCCTGTCTCTAGCAAAATTGTAGTCCCCGCACTCAGATGGATTGAAGAGGAGTTCAGCTGTGAGAACCAGTGCGAGTATCTGGCACGAACCGACCGGTTTCTGTTTGGCTACGGCCGAGCTAGCTCATGGTTCTCCTAGCAGATCTTCGGTGTTCAATGCAAGCGCTTCCTCATTCACGCGGCACAACGTTGCATGATATGCAAGCTTGTTTCCTTTACAGACAAACCGCCCCACAGATACGTTGAATTGTTGCTCGCTTCCCGAGGATTCACACCGCTCGATACATAGACCATGTTTGTCTGTTGTGGACTGTGAATCAAATAATATCAGGCTTTAGCATAGGAAATGAATTCTTGCATTGACCTGTGGAGACTCTTTGTCGAGGAGCCGAGTATGAGATCATTTGGCAACCGCTCCTGTTAATTATCAAGGTGACACTCCAGCCGAGGACATGCTACGAGCATTCAAAAAACACTAGAGATAAATTCTAGTCAAGCAAACCTTATCAAAACGTGATGGGCAAGAGGTAGATGCTTCAGTACAGTCCTGTATTGTGCCTTGTTTAGTCACATTCCACCATTTGGGCGTTGTCAAGTAAAATTAACGGTCGCTAAGCTGATCGGGCCTCGATTGTCAGACACCTAGTTTCCCACTCCAGCAGAATTCCGGAAGTGGACAAGGCGTGGGGATGATTGAAGCCTAAAATTCGTTCCTGTTAGATCACGTTACTTCCTGTTCACCTTTGGCGATGTACGGGTGGTGAATAGTGTCAAAAAGTTGATGTCAACGTTCAAATCAACGTTGACTGAACACCGAGAGCATAATATTCGCCCATAGAAAATATCTACTTGAGCTAGGTGCAAATAAGCGCGGGTCGCATGGGCAGGGAGGGCATTAGGCTACCGCAACTTCCAGAGAAATCCGGAGCATAGATTCTGATATTGACCAGCTCTATAACCACAGGTATAGGTGCATTTCGGAGGGCCTGGCAAGAATGCGGGACCCTTGCTTGTTATTTTGTAAGATCAAGTCATTTCAGAAATAGCCCTGCGAAGTATAAATCCTTTCCCTGGTAAGATCTGGACTGACTACAGCACCAGTACCAGTCATTCACAATGAAACTCTTTGAAACTCCAATTGATATTTGGTTAAGTATCAAGGACTTTCTGACACCAGCAGATGTCGAAAACATCATAAATACCACTTCTACCATCTGGAAACAGATCTTCAAAGATACTAGTTGGCTGGAGTTTGCCCTGGCATTTGATGGATGTTCTCCAGTACTCATTGGCCATTTGAGCGCCTATCGCCCTAGGAAATCGTCAAATCGTCTCTATCTTGCTCTTCTCGCAGGTGATTACTCAGGCGATCTCAGATATGAAAGTGAAAGGTTCTTTGCCGCTCTTCAGGATGGCTGGAAATATGACGAAAATAAATACGAGGTTGACTTCCCTTCTGGCATTACCCTGAACATCTACGAGGTCATTAAATCTCTTGATACGGTAGAGCTACCTTTGGAAAAGGTTTTTACGAACACAAAGCAAGGAGTCTACTCGGAATACTGTTACTACAATAATCCGGCGATAAAGGAACTTCGGTCATCCGATATCGTGAAATGGGATCCTGACTACAAACAACCGCGTCCATATGTGTTTGGTGGGTGGAATGGTCCCGCCTGCAAAGGTAGGGACATCAAACACGGTTGCAGGATTACACTTTTGAACCAGCATATGAAGAAAGACTACTGCCTTTTTCCATGTCATAAGAAAAGCAAGCTATGGGCAAAGATGACACGGAGTGTGCGCGATTGCTCAGTGCGTTGATTTTCGATCACAGCTTACAAGGGCTGTTCAACACATGTGATGGTAATACCGAACGGGGAATTAAACTGATATTTCTGTAACATTACTCCACCTCTAGAAATAAATCAACGCACGAGGTTTTGGAGCAATTCATGTTACATCTTAATATAAATCTCTTGTGGCGATAGATAAGGTATGTCCCTAATGAAACCGTAGGGCATAGAGCTTTGGCGAAGAGTAAATCAAGGTTTTCTCAACAAACCTTACTATTTCCAGTCCCGCGAAGTAAGCTTACAGTATCAAATCCACCATACGTCACGCTCGAGCTGCATTCTACGGCACTAGCTATCTAGGCCGTAGTCAGTGATTTGCTCAAGATCATATCGCGAATGGATTCTCGAGTAGAGGAGGGCAGGTTTCGAGCTACTTTGTGTCGTGCATGTTCGTCTCTTGGTGGTGGAGAGGGGGGCCAAGCTGGTAAGTTGCGACAGTCTCGAATGACGTATAATTCAACGCTTCAGTGTATTAGTCTTGTCAGATAAGTTACCTTAGTTACATTTCCATTGTGACGCATAGGAATGATCTGCAGACTAGCCAGATTGAGCCTAGGTAGTTTCACCATCGGCTTGGCGTTAGGTATCGGCTTGGCGTTAGGGTTTGTGAGAGTTTCTCTGTGTAAAATGTGGAAGCCAATTTCGAATTTAGCTGTAGCTCCTGGCCGCACATGTGTCCAAGGGGATGTACCATGAAGGATCAAGACTTTCTGAAGCTCGGAGGCCATTTGAACCTGATAAGCCAGCAAATAAAAATATAGAATTACGGGTAAATAATAGAAACGGCCTAGGGTCTTATAGCCAAAGACGAGGTTCTTTTACATCCGGTACGAATTAGGGCTGTTGTAGAAGCGTTCTCAAATTGCGCCTCTAGATTCTAATTCCCAACGTCAATGTATGAGGTAACTAAATCAAATTGTTGATGTTTCACCTCTTGTACATGTAGTCAGCGGTCGTTCCAAGTAGCTACGCCTAGAATAGCGGGAAAGAAAATCACAACTTGCCTAATGTTTCGGTAAGCTCATATCGCATGCAAATACACTAGTCAGTATTGCGCATTGGAAACCCAGCTATGTGAATATAGGCTGGCGTAAATTTGAATGACACATGAAAAGTGTATCTAGTTAGGGGCCATCGCTCCCGTCGAAACCTCCCATTCAACCAAGTCAAAAGTGGACCACAGCTACGGCTGTTTCGCTGAGCGAAATCATTAGCTAAGGGCAAACTAATTGAGCTCGATCTTGTCGCTGGAACCGTCTAATTAGATTTCTTCAAAAATCAGGACATTTTGCATCGCGGGTTTCCGGTTCCAATTGATCATTCGTATTCATCGTTCCAATAAATCGTAGTAATCAAATGAGCCAAACGAAGGAAGTGGATTGTGTTTGTTTGATTTCATCATCAGTGTTGGCTATGCATTGGAGATAATATTAATTCTCTGTGGAGTGGCTCTGGAGTGTCAAATAACGCGATTTTCTGAGTGCCCTGTAGTAATCCGCAGACTGAGTCAACTCGAGGAAGTCTCCTAGAGCGGTGAACAAATTCTTACCCTATAAGTAACTAAGGGTCCCTCTTCGATAGGAACAGGACCTGAATGCAACCGGTGTTAATGGATAATTCTGCTGTCGACTGTGATACTTCGTAAGTTACCGGTGAGAATGAGTCTTGCCCCAGCTAAAGACTGGAATTTCCTGACGAACCCATACTGGGATGGATCGCAATTTTAAATGACATAGAGCGGTGCTAACCACTGAATGCTCAGTTCGACCTTGCGTCTCAAAGGAGAGCAGTCCAACTCACAACAGATGGACTCTTTGAGACTGACACTCCTCTCAGCGCTCAGTAACTCCAAATCGTATCAAAAGTGCCTGCAAGATGGTCATAGTCTTGCACGATTCATGAATATACCGCTCATGAGCGATATACTTGCGGAGAAGGTTTCCTATTTGTTCAGTGAAATTCGCCCGCACCTTCGAGACAGCGAGGACAAAGACAGCGAAAACTGTATCAGTTGGATTGATGTGGTTCGTGAGGACCCATGTCAGGTTGAGCAGCATAATGAGAAATATCGTTTTCGTCTACCCAATCGACGGGGAGTGTTCGAAATGACTCAGTTTGACTACGACTTGATTCTTTCAGGGCTTCCTCGAAAGCTTATTAATCCACAAATGCATACTGGCGATATCCTTGCGGAAATAAGCGCAGTTGATGTAGTGACATCAGAAATGAGAGCATGGAGAGGTGTGGCGGCAGAAAGTGAGCAGCTGTCTGTTGAAAACGTGTTCTATCATCAGGCTAACTTATGTTGGTAGTCAGTGAGACCATTGACGATACGCTCCATCGACTGAGTGAAAGGCTCATCTATCTTGAAGATTTAGATGTCCCTGAATGCTTGTTTCAGGAGCCTCTAGTAGCTTTGCCTGGTGCCAACGTGGAAAGTGGCACGCCTGTTCACGGGTCCAATAGTGCTCCAATGACTAGGTCCAATGGCACGAAAAGGACATGTGAGCCTCACTTGGAAAACCAATCTTGAAGAAAAATGCATCTAACGGAGACGCGCAGCACTCCCTCGTGGTCGGCGATGGACTGCTAAAGAAAAAGACATTCTGCCATTGTGGTTTGAATCAAAAGCAGCTTTGCCTGTGGAAGAGATTGAAATCCAGTTCGAGCAAGATTTTGGTCATCGTCGAAGCATAGGTGCCATCCAGGCCATGTTAAATAGAAAGAAAAGGAAGTCTTAAGAATTGAGAGATGCAAGCAATCACCCTCTACTGCAAAACGGATTTTGCTACACGATACTTTTAGTGCTCAGTGTCCAACTTTATCTCTTTCAACGCTGGTCTCTCCACGGGGCGAGCAATGAATTCCTGCGATAAGTTTAGTATAATGTAAACGACCGTTTTTCTTTGCCCGGACCCCTCGACAAAGGCATGTACGGCTTACAACAACTATGTAGGTCCATTACTTATATGTTGTATGCCTCGTTTCCTGGAGTATGATTACAGCCTCGGCAGAACCCGCCAAGGTCGAGTCGCCTATCCTATTGTCAGGCTATCCATGTGGTACAGGTCGAGACATTACATGTAAGGTGGATTTTCATAGTCGAGGTTCCTTGACGCTGTTTTCTTCCCTCCTTTGTCTCTCCTACAAAGTTCGGGTGCTCAAGAATCTGTCCACAACGCTTACACATAACCTTCGGCGGTACATTCATTCGAAGCAGGTTTCCTCCGAACGGCGATTCCTTCATTAATCCTTCGTCTTACCCGTGTTGGCCCCGGTCGCATTAAAAACTATCTTCTTTACGACGAAATGCTTCATAACGATTGGGTAAGCTGGTGGCTTGAAACCGGCTTTGGGAAGAAAGATAATATACCCTGGGATGCAAACTATCAATCTATTACTTTAAAAGGTTTCCACCAAGTAGAGATTAGGGGTAAATGGATGAGTACACGAATTGTCTAGATCTCCATCGTAGATAGACGAAGAGAAAGCTGATTGCTGGGTTTGAGATATAATAAGCTTCAAAACGTATATACTGAAGGGAAATAAAGAAAGGGAATGAGAACACTTACAGGAATTGTGCGGATTCTAGCTGGACGCGACCGACAAACAGAATAAGTACGAATTAACTAGTTGATACATGGCGATTAAATAACTGATCTAACTTTAGTTACTAATTGGTTAATAATAAATTATTAAGTGGGTCAAAACCATGAAACCCCACTATAAACCATGAATAAACCACTACAAACCTCTACAAACCACTATAAACCACTATAAACCACTTAAAACCACTTAAAACTGTTGAAACACTCACCAACCATTAATGATTATTATAACAATAGCTTTGAAGCATTATAGAGCCCTAATTAGATCACCCTTCATATTTGAAAGAAAATTCGCTATCAAATGACACTTGTTAGAGTATTATAGCACGTAAGCTTATAAAGTTACATGTACAAAGCTATATATTTAATATTGAGGAGTGTTTAATAATATGTCAAATATATGTATTTGAAGCAAAACATGTAAGAATTTACAAACTCAACATTCACTAGCTACCTTTTGTCAAAATTGATCAAAGAATAAAAAATATAATAAAATTGTAACAGATTTATATATATATAGATAAATCACTCCTACTTTTGTATATCCACTTTTGAAGTGATATTAATGAGAGTGAACAATACAAGGTTAAATAACAGTAATTTATTGTGATGATTAAGTAGATTTATATACGCCAAGACCCCTATTTTATGCAAAAATGGGTTTTCGGTGGTTTTTTGGGGCCCAATTGCAGTTCATGGCGAAGTCTAAAGACGCAGCACCCGTCGAATTTTCCTATGCGCCGCTCCCCAAGGGCGAAATCCCAGGCTACTCCGGCTATCCAAATGGTAAATGGAATACTAAATGCTGAGCTTCCATCAAGCTGCATCAATAATATTTTGACGAACAAAATGAAGCGGTTTTGACTAGCAAATCGGAATAAATTGGAACCTCCGGAGGAGATGTAATCTCTGTAAAAATGACTGGCAATTTGTGTGAACAGGAATATGACCAACCGCAACACAACTTCCAACATAGAAGGCTCGCTTTTTCCACTGTGCACCTTTGTTCCTGACATATGTCAAAATGAAAAGCCATGGTCGACAACAGGGTCACAGCTAAGAGATGGGGCAAAGATTGACACTTCGCACAACGGGGGAAGTGCCAACTTTTCAAGAATAACTTGACTCAAGCCATTTTAGCGGTCCCAAGAAACGTCGCATGTCAAGTCAATCTGCCCAGAAAAGCAGAGAAAAAATCCAGGATATAATTTGTACAAATGAGATGAACGCTCCAGCCAAGGTCACGGTATCCTATGCACTTGATAAGTCTATATGATGGCGTATGCAGCCTTCACCAAGCTTGAAGAGGTGAGCTTACCGTCCATCCCAATTTATAAGTCTCGGTTTTAACTGATTTCATAAAGTTCGGAGCCCGCAAATAGACCGTGGTCGTACAATAATGCTCAGGGTTAGCATTGTTTGATGTATCGCAAATGAGCTCAAGTGATGGAATGGAAGTTATCGCCATGCCGTAAGTGGCGAAAGAGGAGTGGTTTAACAGAACTCGCTCTTTTATATCAAGTTGCACAGAAGTCACACCCATAGCATTGATGTCAACCAGTGTAGTTAGATTGCTCTCGAGTGCTGACCTGAGAGACAGGCTCCGGTCATACACGGCGAGGAAAAGACCTGGACTAGACACTGTTCCGTCTGTGGCCTGGTTTTTAGACATGTTATCTAGCTCAGCATATCTCAGTAAGTATCCGACAAATGGGGCATGGGCAAACCTGGAGGGTATCACCCACATGTAAAGAAAACCTGGAGGAGCATCATTGAAGCTGGAGTTGTGGAAAGAAGTGCTGGATCAGATCGAAAATTGTGGAGTTGGTAGCTCGAGCCTTGCCAAGAGAAAGACCCAATTGCAGTATCCCACCATTCTGCACAATTGCAGGGGTTGGAAGAGTTATAGGAGGAGGTATTGTCACATGTGCTAGCGGATTGGTTATATTGTCCTAGGAAACATTTCGGAGCGACTTTTGTGGACAATTGCGCTTGTGCTGTCCAGCCATCTTGTTGCAGAATTGCCACAGCTGGGAACGTGATACTGTCCTAGATATGGCGGTAAGTATGGTATGAAATCATATGATATAGACTTCGTAAGCAGATACCAAGTTATCATATTTCATCGATATATCTTTTCTTTGGCTCTGTGGAAACCAGACTCCCCAGTACATCGCCGTCAACACAGTGAAAGTTAAGAATGAAGCCCAGCATGTATTGGCCTGATTTCCACTATCTGAAGAAGGATTATCATATAAATGGCATCTGATAATGAAAAAGGTTTTACTTACACGCTCCATTTTTCCTGCAGTGGTTGTACACAAGGACGAGTTCAATTATTGCAAAGATGATGCCCAAACAGGAGAAGAAATCTCGCATAGGGACGGTAGCCACCTTTGCCGCTATTGCCCCGGTAACGAGATAAATTATCAGTAAAATGACTATAAGTAGCAGTATCCTGCGTCCAGCAGGTTTGACAATTTGTTCTTTGACTTGGCCACCATTGCCATTAGCGGGGTCTCCCTGAAGTTCATTGACTCGATTGGTGAGAACGTGAACCTTATGCTTGAGGTTGTCAATACCTCCGTGAAGTTCTCCGACATGTCTACGGAGGCCTTCCACTTCGGGAGGAATACGTTCTGCTATATGCTTCAGATTGAAGCCTTCGCAACCCTGCAATATCATCTCAGCATTGTGGACATCACCCGCTACCTGTGCAAACTCTTCGCTCACTTTGGAAATTCGACGTTGAGTTTGATTTGTTTCGGTTCTTGCGTTTGGAGGTTCCACTGCTGCTGACGCTTCGTCAAAGTTGTTGAGCTCATACCTGTTATTATTGGCTTGCATTATAACCGAGATATGCCAATCTCATATAGATAAAGTCTTCGGTTTCTCAGCCGAGAGAGAGAATTCGTATATTCTTGAAGCACGAAGGTCTATTGCTTATTTAAACTGGGCGTCCTATATCCTAGTGATACAGTGAAGACGTGATTCGTGGTTTACAAGTGGTGATTTGATCGCCACTCTTTGGGCTTGAAAGTTACCATTTATCAGAGAGTATCATGAGATATGCCCCGTGTGGAAAAAGGAACGGCCTGGAACCATTACATTCAAAGTATAATTCTATGTATATCTGGTCAGCAATGTCATTGAGAATGACAAAAGTTCGTCACTGCGCTACCTCCAGATAGTTGGCCCACGGAACTCGCCTCTGTGTTTTGCCATGATCACAAACGGTCAAAGTAGTATAGCCAGATCTTAGAATATTCAACTCTAGACGGTCTATCGCACAGAGGGGATCACCCACCCCGTAAGTGGCATTTGATTTACTAAGAATATCCTGCCGTTGCGGTAGCCTTTTTCTATGTAGGTAGAGACCAGGGTTTTAGACAAATTGTCGTAGAGCGCCTCGATCTTCAACAGCGTAGAGTTCGTTTCCGATCTATCCAGTTTAGAGGTGCGTAGATACCTGTGGAAGGTCGAAAGTTTTATGCGGATATTTACAATTGGAAGCTAGCTGCACTCAGCTTCTTGGGCCGTTCAGGACGTTAGACGTATATACATACGTATGATAGACGTGTGTTTTGAATTTACAAGCGAATACATACTTTAAAGTATTTGGTAATCTACGTAAGAAAAAATACACAGCTAACTGACAGGAGTGCTCCGGAAAAACTCCCAATATAGACTAGTGTATATTGGCGTAGGGGCTGGCGTATCAATCGAAGAGTGAAGGTAAGTTTCGGGACGTATTGTACGAAACTAAGAATGATCCTGCTGCAAACAGCCAAGTATTAGTTTGGTAACGTGAAGGCATATTATTCTTCCCGGGAGGGATGGATGGCGGCCAAAAGATTGGCCCAGACCCAAAAGTTGACTTCAAGGGATTGGAACTTTCTTGCGATGTAGGCATTATATGATGAAAAAAATTCCCCACTCTGTCACTTCTGATAGTTGATGAGCTCTCAAAGAAAATATGGTCATTGGTGGCCCATTGATTGACATACAGTGCCATAACCTTCGAGAAACGTCAATACCAAAAGTTTAGTGTCAGAACAGGGATGTAGGATAAATTGCGGATGCACGTTACATAGCGTAGAAGGAGGTCCAGGGGATTACTTCTGCGATGTCTAAACTACTTTTGAGAAAGCATTATAAAGCTGAATCTTTATGATATGAAATGGTTGGTTGGGGGGTGCCTTGAGGATTACCATAGAATTATCGTCTAGAGACCATTCTCCCGAGGCGGGAAGATGATCTCACCATGACTGCGGCTAGGATAATAGGACAAAGAATCTGCTAAGACCCAAGCTACTCAATTTGTGACATACAAGGGGAAGGAAAGTTTCTTGGGACTTCCTGTTCTAGATTCTCGCAATCGGAAGTCATCTACGCTGCTACTGAGCGTGTGACAGCTGTTTCGTAGAAAGCTTCAATCCAGATGTGTACGTACCATGGATTAATTCTGCCTAGTCTGCCTCCCCGCCATGAACCCGCAAAGCTTATTTTTGTTGAACATTTTACTCCATTGTCTCAACTGCGGGACCCCACTCGACTTCTCTCTATCCTGATTCGTTCACCGTGTGTTGGATCTCCTGTACTGATGGTATTGTCCTGTCACCCTGATACGCACTACTCATGCATTAGGGTTAGACCTGTATCTACAGTGACTGGCCATAAGTTTGGACATTATCTTCTCGGAAGCCTCATTTAAGGATGGTTTTTGGGGAGGCTTTAGAAGTCAGGAAATCGTGTTGCACTTTTATAGTGATGTAACTCACGGTGGATTGTCTAGGCAGCTGAGCGCTAATATCACAAGATGCACTCGCTCGATATGTCTCCGCCAAGCAGTGATATCCACGAAAGGGGCAGTGGAAAAGGGATGTTACAAAGCGCGTGTTCATGATTTGTAATGTAGTCAAAGCTAATGACAGTAAGAAGAGGCAGAGACGGATGGAGAGTTTTGAGATTCGTAGGGCATCTGGCAACGGACGACCGACGTTTCAGGCATCCATCCTGATACCTCAGGAATGGAGCAGATCAACATTCAACCTACTCAGTAAGTTATAGCTTGAACAAAGCTTTCACTCATTAAATAGCGGATCCCTCATAATGATCCCTCACAATATGAGGGATCAGACCTAAACAATCTCTCTGGAAAAGGACCACGTCTCTCTTTATATTCTTCTTCCCTACTACGTGCATCGTAAATCTTAACAGAGAGGCCCTCTAATGTTGTGGATACGATTTCTTGCTGCCAAATATATATCTTGGTAGGAAACCGTCGGTATCTCGTAGGAGCCATAAAATGTCAGTCAGTCTGCATTTAATACAGTAGTTTTCGAAATCAGTTTGACCCCAAACTCTTTCGACTTGATTCCCGGAAAATAATTCCTTAGTTTACGAGCTCTGATTGGATTTTATTTTAAGCACCTGGGCCCAGACCGCTTTCCACTATAATCAATGAATCTTACAATACGTCTTCAGTACCGTTCATGTTGTAATTTACATGAAATTTGCTGAATACGGATCCACCCTTCCCCTCACTTCTCTGCATGACAATCAAGAATTTCAAAGTACATCGTCTTTCTGCTTACCGTTGTTGAAGCAGACGACATGGCTCCAAGAATATCACCTTCAAAGCTTGCTTTCATCCGTGATATGATCGAGAGCAAATCTTTCGAGGTAGGCAAGTATGGAGGTTGTGGTCTTGGAAGAAGGTAATGAGTTCACTTGCGTCTTCAATAAATCTTGATTGGATCTGGTTGCCGCCCCACATTGGGTGATGACGGTTGAAATCTCCTGAGAGGATGACACTCGTGGACCGCTGGTCTTCCTGTCGGGCGGCAGAAATCGTCTTTTGGATCGCCGTCAGCGCAGGTTCTGCCGACGCTTTATTCGAGGTATACAGCGGGACACAGGGGATACACACAGAAAAAAGGAGGATCTGGGAGTCGGCCGTCCAGATCTTGATCGCGGTAATATCTGGGTAGTTGCACCGAATCTGCCGGTGTGAGAAGGTGGACAGCTTTCGGTTAACGTAGATTAACCATTGGTCTCAGGTCAACTTTACATATAACTTATATGTAACTGACGTCGTCAAATTGCCTGCACGGAATCAAATTATTACACTACCATCGTTTGTACCATAGCGATGAGCCTCTCAATGATGTATACAAGAACCACAATAATCCGAGTTTTCGAGCCAGTCCCACTTGATGTAGTGGAAGTGCGATGATTTATGAGTGCGATTAAAATCTTTAGCCTCAGACTGTAGGTGGAGGCTTGACTGGTAACAATAATCTAAGAATTATCAGGTAAACTTGAAAGTCATCGCTGATACATGAATTATTTGAAACTTCTGGTATTGATGTGATCCGCCAGTTCTGCATCCGGCGGCTGGAAATGTGTGTTTGAAGTGTTCAATATTCATCAAACAAAGAAATGATCTTGCGGAGATTCTGGGCAATCTGCATAATTACATCATATCGGAGTTCTCCGTTCATACGCTTGACTCCACACTGATGAGTACTGAGATACGCAGATCATGCACAAACTTCACAGGCAAAGTGTTTCTGCAACCCACTGGTTCGTTCCGAGGTCTCCGTTGTGCTATTATAGGCCTTCAGCTACTCATTGCAGAAGAAAGCTGAGCCTCGAGTGCCCAATGAGCATATTTAGATCAAGATCGTCGTTGCTGAAGTCTCTTTCGGGAAATTATCCACAATTCCTCGTGGGGTGTGTCGTGGAGATGGAGAATATCGTTGCCTCATTTGGATTCTTTCGCATGATGCCCCATACCATAGAGATTTTCATGAGATATCACACTAGCGCATTAATAGACAAGTTATTCCCACCCCGTTCATTTCGAATGCCTTCACAGGATCGTTCTTCGCCATATATCAGGACTTTATCTTTTCGCGAAACATTTTGTTATCCCGAAACTGCTTATCATCACCCTTCATCCCTGCCCTTCATCGCTTCTTATACTATATTTTTGTGCTCTCCACCATGTCTAAGCAAAGCGAACAATATGCTGATATCATGGGCCGCGATAGCTCTTTCGGGACCTACGTGTTCAAGCCTCAGCCTTTCACGAGACTCCGCCTGGGATCAGTTGGCTATTTTGACCGGACAGCCGAATGGCAAGAAATAACCAACCTTTTCGAGCCTGGTCTTGCAGAGAAAGACGGATTTAAGCCTTTCATCGGAAACCTGAGCCTACGGGAGGTGACAGAATCTAAATGGCAAGCCACATCTGGAGAAACGGAGACTGGACGTAGTTCCCGTATCTCCACCGAAGCCTCCGGCGCTATGGCAGCCGCCCCAGTCGAAGCATCACTCCAAGTCAAGGCTAAGAAATCCAAGACTGGAAGTGCCTCCCTCATTACTTCTTCTACTGTACGGAATCATAGATTCGATCGAAACTTCAAGGGCCCGATGATGGACTGGGTTGAGAGCAACGCGCAAGATATCCTAGCAAGCTGTCATGACATCAAAAGCCAAGGGCTGTGGATTGTCATGAGTGCATGGGTCACTGATGAGGCTGCAGTGAAAATGAGTAGCGGCGAAAATCAAGACGTCGACGTGTCAATGGATTTGGGGGCTACAGGAATAGGGAAGCTGGGCACATCTGTGGGAGTTTTTGACAAACTTCAGCGTGAGGGCTGGTGGACCTACGATAAGGATGAGGTAAATATTGTCTGATCACCTCTCTTTGATCCTAAAACGCTAACTTGATACAGAAAACTCAGGGCTATGTTGTCTCTTTTGCGGGCGTGCAATTCTCCGCTCGCAGG